AAGTCAGACCAGCTGGCAATACCTAATAAAGCAAAATTCCTATCTCATCCCTCCTGTCTTCTAAAGACACTGCAGATGGGGCAGAGACGTTATCCTGGAGGTCTTATAATTTTGTTGACTCTTTACATTTCCTCTTAAATGTTTGGAAAATTTCACTAAAATTTGTGAGAGAAAAGAAAAAGGAGATTTCAGGAGCCCTGGGCTCCTCTTCCTCCCTCAGTCTCAAACAAACAGATTAAGTGTGCACTGTAGAACAAGCATCAACACATCAACTTCAACAGTATGAAGGCTGTTTCCACTCTCTCTACCCCCTGCTGCACCTATGGCAGACATCACTAATTGATCATGACATTCCCACTGAGTATAGACTTGGCCTTGGAATCTGTCTCAGTACAATGCTCCTGGCAGCCAATACCAATCAATGACACTTGGCAAGTGAAATGAAACCTATTTAACATAACAGATGTCAACTACTATCTTTAAATTCAGGCTTTAGGAAACAGACATGCTCTCTAGTCAGACAGAGGTACATTGAACTCAGAGTCTACCACAGAGCTGGGGTTCATGTAAAACTTTTTCCCCAAAAGCAAAATAGCCATGAAGTATTAAAAATAATATAGGGAAAGTGCCGGTTATGGGATGAGTAATCACCAAAATGTGCAGTAAAGAAAGTGGTTCTTGAGAGACTAAGAAAGACTTCATTTTTTATGCTTTGATCTGCTAAACTCTATGCCTACAACAAAAGGAGGATTGCAGTCTCATAGTCTCTCAATTTTTGCAGATTTATAGGCAGGTTGCCACCAAAACATAATAAATAACATCATAGATGAGAATACCAGAGAACACAGAAGCAAAATCAATATTAGGAAATTGATAAAGACAGTCAAAAGCAAAAAGCTGTGAAGCAAGATACAATGGCCTCAGTAGACAAAGTTAAGTGAGGATCAATTATTAGATAGCCGACATTTCTCGCACACTTCTACAGTATGTAGGCAATCAAGCTTTATCTCATTTAGTTGTCAAAGTGACCTAGGGAAATGCAAATAACATAATTATAATAACCCCAAGTCTTATAGAAATTGAGTAAATTCTTCAAAGCCATGTGCTAGATAAGGATAGACACATATTTTGAACTTGGTAATATACTTTATAAGCTTTGTTGTTTATAAAGTATTTTAAGTCAACATGAATCACATGAATTTGCCATTTTTTATGTAAAAATTGTTGATTACTGGCAATATTATACATCAACTTACATTTTATTCCTTTAAGTTACACAGTAATTTCATTCGTTAGTTATAAATAGGACCTTAGAACTCAGGACACTAAGGCTAAGAAAAAGGCAAAGATACAGAAAGAGACTTAGCAGCCCAAAGAGTAAGGAGGATGTAGTGTGCAGTCCCTACTCATTTAATTATCCATCCCAAGGTCATGGTCATCTGAGTCCCTTTTTGGTTCCTGAATTTGTGTTTCTCTTCCTACATAAACACCTCCTCTGATTTCCACTCGTATGCATCAAAAGCAGGTATATCTCCCTCTTAAGACTTCCCAAAGCAGAGTTCCCTATCAAAAGTCCAATTTCCTAAATCTCCTTTCCAGGAACCACCTATGCAATTCATTTGGATAATGGCATCACTGTCATGGTTCTTTCAGTCTGTTTTTCCCAGTCTTTAACATTGTGGCCATATTACTATCTTCTTTCTGAGAATTCCTTTCCTCCTGTCATGATTCTCTTGAGGTACAGTCACTGATTGTCACACCTTTCATCAAACAATACATGTTACTAAAGATTCTTAGAGCAAAGGCAGACCATAGATGTCATGCACTGCATCCAGTGCATACCGAATGTCCATCAAAAATCATCTTCTATTCTCTCCTCCTCCCTTTACTATCCTCAAAGCAAGTCTCAAACTTCACCTTCTAGATATCTTCAGAGTCCTCCTAGTTGCTTTTCCTCTGTTTGTTTTCCTGTAGTCCAAGGCTCTTTTACATGTGATGCATTTTGCTTCTCCAGCTTAAACTGCCATAGTTATTATTATCTTTCTCAATAAACCAAAACCCTTTTTCTATGCCCATCTTTTTGGGTGGTAAAACAGCACATACAGTATTTTTTTTCTTTTCATGCTACTTATTAATGTATTCTTTTCCAATAGATTGCAAGTAGATGTCTTAAATATGAAAATATTTATTTAGCACCAACTATGACCAAGTACAATGTTTCCTGATCTACAGATAAATCTCTTTGTCTAACACTTTCTGTACACAATGCAAGACATAAAGTATGGCCAGTATTGTCATTGAGGATGTACCTCAACGACAGAGCCCTGGCTCAGCATATGCTAGAACATGGGCTTTTTTCCCAAGCAACAACAAAATAAGTAAAATAGATAGATAATAAATAAATAAATAAGTGCCAATCAAAAGAAATCTCTCAAACTTTTGTCAAGAAGAAAATAAAAGTGTTTATAATCTCATAATCAAATCAGCAGAAAACTACAAATTAAGTAACATGTACATATCTATCAATTACAAAAGCACTTTTACAATGGAGGTACCCATGTTATCAAAAAAGATACATAGATGAAAGATGGATATTTAGTGCCAACAGGACTATAAACAAACTCATTTTTGGAGAGCAATAATATCTCAACATATATACCTGGATGTTTATACTTTTGCTTTTGGCATCAACAACAATTAGGAATCTATTTTGAAAAAAATAAGATAATATATGAAGAAAGATTTCCACTGTAGTGCTAATTTAAAATGAAACATAAAACAATCTAGCCGTATCCCAGTTGGAGTGGGATTAAATGAATGTTGCCAAGCCTGGTCAGACTACTAGTTCACAGTATTCTAAAAGCTAATAAAGAGCCTGAGGTGGTATAACATTCTCTGTTAAAATGTTGGTTGAAAATTTGGGGTACAAAATTATACACGTATTCACAGAATAACCATAGATATTTGAAACTATAGATGAAAAAATGCTATGGATATCTTTATATCTTATGACTAGGAATAACTTTTCAACTAGTTTATATTTTGACATTTTTGTAGTAAACTTATAATATTTATAATCAGAAAATAATCAAAAGTGTTCCTGAATAGAAAACTTGTAGGCATTGGTACCTACAATGGAAGTTTCCTCTCACTCTCTGAGTATGAGCTCAAGCCCAGGGTATTTTGAACATTCTGCTACCAGACACTTTCAGCTCAATCATTATCAATAGGCTCTATTGGTATAATTTTCCCAAACAAATTAATGTTCACTGCCACTGTGACTGATGTTATATAAGATGGTAAAATACTATGCAAATTAATGAAACATGACTATGAAATTTTTAATAAACAATACATTAAAGATAAGTTGCTAAAAGAAACAGCCACATTCTTTGTGGAATTGAAACTGCAAAACATTGGAGAAAATTAACATAAATGTAGATACACTTTGCACTCACTGCCACATAAAAATATTTAATTCTCTTCCTTCAAAGAACAAGAAGTAATGCCATCTAGTATATATTATTAGCATGATTAGTACAAAAAAAGATGAAGGAATTCCCAGAGACAGCACTTAAGATGAAGGGAAAAGATTGTCTCCTACCAGAACTGTGGTATTTGAGTGTATATTTATGTTTTAAGCAAAAGAAAAATATTAAATTGTATATGCTTGAAGCAGGTTTTTAAGTCCACTAATCACTAATCCTTCCTTGTTAAGTAAGAAGGACCTTATTACATATAGTACATTCATGCAAAGTTTCTACTCATATGTAAGTTATAATTTATGGAAGAAACTGTCATGCATACACTTAAAAGTGAATATATATGTGTCTGTGTGTGTGTGTGTAAATAAAGATATTTATATGTGCAAACATGTGTGAGAGAAATTCTGCATACACATACTGTTTATACACTTTGAAATGAACTACTCTTCTGCTGGACCAAATCATGCGATCATGCAGTAGACCCTTCATAAGAAGCTAATTTAGCAAACTCAAAGTGTGAAATTAAACTCAGTGGCAAGAACCATGGTGCACAGCGGCACCAAAATTCTGGTTGAAAGCATCTTTGTCTAACTTACTGTTCAATTATTTTTATCAGGAATGGAGAGGGCCAAGGAATTTCTTGTTTAGACATCTTGAGATCAATTTTCTTCTGGGGAAAAGGTACTACACTTAAAACACTTAGTTCAAAAGTACTATTTACAACCAACTCTGAAGTTGCCCTAAGAACACAACAATTAGTACAACTTTTTAAATCTTCTTTCTAATTTGAAGGAAAGATTGTCTAAAGGAGCTCAAAAGCCCCAACTGAAGAGGGAATTACTCTTGTTCACAAACATATAAATGCATTTTGCTTTGATGAACAGACTGATTTTCAGTTTTCACCTTTTCTGGAAAGTTATAAAAGTAATAACATATATATGCTATGCTATGAAGTGTAACAAAGAGTAAGGAAATATTCCAAGTGAAGTATTGATAATTAGTAAGCCTGAATTTCAACATTTGTTCCTTGCTTTCCAGCTTAATGATCTTGTACAAGTTACTTAATAATTCAAAACTTTATTTCCTCATTTAAAAAATGAAAAAAAGAAAAAAGAAAAAACCCAACATGTGCAGTTGCTGTGAAATTAACTGAAACTGTTTATAAACTTGGTACATTTATTGAGTGGGAGATAAAAGTGTTCATTTTCTGCTTTACAAATTTTGGTGTTTTAACCCAGAATAGGGTTCTTTGGGGACCCAAACAAAAACATACAACAGTAGGTCTAGCCCAGCTCTGACACACAATAAATGTCATCTTTTTAAAAAATACTTTTAATCCAGTACTTTTTAAATCAGCAACTGAAAATATTTACACTTAACTTCTTGACTAATGTCATTTGTTCTCTTTATTCCATTGATCAAAAACATTCTGTTATCTTAAAATACACACACACACACACACACACACACACACACACACACACACCAAAGTTCTAAGTGACATATAAGACTTACCCGCAGTTCCAGAGAGCTCCACACTTAAGGTTCGTTCAATAGTCTTGTTCTCAAATGGGGAACCCTTAGGGTCACTGGAAGATATGACACATTTATAAAAACAAACTGAAATGGAGTTGCTGTAGCCAAATGTACTAGAACCCCCCCTTCCCTTCCTGAAAATGGTTGCATTTCTTAATACTTACTTTGGTGACTCTGGGGTCAGAGGAAGAGTTAAAGTTGTTGGTTTGGCTAAAGGGAAAAAAAAGAAACTAATTATGAAATATTGAGTGGTCTTTCTACTATAGTCAAGTTGGAAACAGGATCAGGAAACTGGAAGACTAAACTAAGGAAGTCTCTGAATGCTGGATCAAAGTCAGATAATAGTCCATTATGCTAAAAGAAATTCCAAACAACATTTGTGTCAGTAAACTATTATTCGAAAATGCATACAAAAACAGAATTTTCCCCAAAATGTACCATCCTGTTAAGGATACAAAATTTGCATGGTACCATCAGAGAAAAGTAATGTTTTCTGTTTTAATTTGGAATACAGTACACGGTTTGTTTAGACAAGAAAACAGCTGAGTAACTACAAGGCAACAGAACGTTATGAATATTCAGTTGATTTTACTTCTCAAATGTATAATTTTATATCTAGCCTCGAGAATAGCTTATTTCTGTGAGGCCAAAGCTCAAGCTATAACCCTATAACCACTATATTCACTGAAAATTAATGGAGAGACTGTGCCCAATGGTGGGCATCGACCCAGATGGTTCCAATGGAGTTCAGGTTGCTAAATTTCCTAGATAACTACAATACAATACTAAGGTTATCAGTTGAGAGATCTATGCCTTTATCGAAAGAGCTATTTCCTCTCAGCTTTTCTGAAGTCTCACTTCCTACAGGAGCCATATTCCAATAATGAAGGGAGAACCAGAATCTTCTCACTCCAGTATTTCAATTCCTTATTGTCAATTTTGTAAGTGCAAGACTGAACCATAAGTGGGGAATAAGTGATGAGAAGCATATTTAAGGCATCCATCCACATAACGTATGGATCCAGGATGTGCTTTTCTATGGAGAGCTATGTGTGTAAGGTTATGTCAACTTTTTCTCACTAAATAACCACTTTCAGAAGATCAAAAGATAATAATTCTTTATGTCACAAAAATTATAGAATTGAAACCCAAGGGGTCTTTAAAATAAACTCTAATTTTTATGGACAAAGAACTGAGATGTAAAGATGCCATGCAATGTTTGCAGGGCCATAAAGCTTGTTACTTAGAGTGCGGGCCAAGTAGTGCTTCCTTTCTCCAATTCTCAAAAGCAGTTGTAGTAAACCAACTTTAAAGTAAATTAATCATGCTCAGTAATTAAGGTCGCCTGAAATATGAAAATACTATTTATGTCCAAATTAGTCTGAAATTAGGTACTTTCCTTGGATAAATACTATTTACATATTTCTTCTGTAGGTTTAAATTTAGTTTTTAAACAATTGAATGGTATATCATCTGTCCAACGTGCATCCAGAAATACAAAGCTCACTCTGTTTCCTACAAATTATGTAAACTGATTAATTGGCTTTTACATATATACAGATAAATGAGCTGATTTTACATTAATTTTTGAGTATGTTTAATTTAATGAGCCTTTTTAAAAGAATGCATTTATGAAGGAAATTTACCCACTTTTACAGTGCTCAACTAATAATTAGTATAATTCATAAAGGTTCAATAGGAAATATAACCAGATATGGAACTAAGTGCTATATCACACAATAAACGTACACTGAAAATTAAAAGCTGAATAATGAGGCGTGGTGGTTTATGCCTATAATTTAAGCACTCTAGGAGGCTGAAGCAGGATTACAAATTGAAGCCCAGCCTGGGCAATTTAGCAAGTTTTGAAAGCGAGGCTCAAAATTTAAGACAAAATAAAATGAAAAGTACTGGGGATGTGTCTCAATGCAAGGGCCTTGGATTCAATCCACAGAACTGAGAAATGAAAGAAGGAAGGAAGGGAGGGAGAGGAGAGGAGAGGAGAGGAGAGGAGAGGAGAGCAAGCGCCAGAAAGCAAGCAAGCAAGCAAGCTGGGCAAATAGCTCAGTGGATTAAAGCATTTGCAAGCAGGCGTGCTGTGCTGCCCTGCCCCCAGGGTGAGCTGAGACAGCAATTGAGACTGGGCGTGGTGGCACGTGCCTGTAATCCCAACTCTTAGGAGGCTCTAAACAGGTGGATCACTATGAGTCTGATCTAGTAGTGAGACCTTGAACACCCTGTACACCCTTCCCTAATAGAAAGAAAGAAAGAAAGAAAGAAAGAAAGAAAGAAAGAAAGAAAATTTAAAAATCTAGTTCTCAACACATAGGGCAATTGCTCAGAAAGGCTGAAAGAAGGACCCCAAATCCTGAAAGTTGGGTCTAACTAAGGCCAAGAGTGACAGATGAGAGAAGAATCAGCAGCATTCATATTTAATGGCAAACAGGATGAGATGCAGCCCAAAATCACACTTAGAATCTAACTCCTGAATAATCCCAGGCTCACACACGCTTTCCCTGGAAGAACAGGGACTTGTGTCACTGGGAGTTCAATGAACACAGCTCCAAGGAATGGCTCTCCGGAGATTGCAGGAATCCTTGAGGACATAAATTCCTGTCTTTTACCTGATCATGTTAACTTTAGATATGAAGAAATGAATGAATAAATAGATGTGATACCAACGTACACCGAAAATATCCTAAAGAACTGAAAAGCACGTGAACCCACAACGTTACAGAAAGCGCACATGATTTTCAATGAGAACAAATTACAGCTCACTAAGAGAGAAAACTTCAGAGTGTCACTGTAGTCCTTATCATCTCTGTTTGCTCACTTCCTACTTTTTGATTTTGAGAAATAACTCACACATCTGTAGATGAGCACTTTCTGGTTGTTGATAGCCTGCCATGTTTCCTTGCTTTTTTCTTTTTTTGTAATTAATAACTAAAGAAGTTTTTTTTTTTTTTTTTTTTTTCTGTAATTTTTTGTTCCTCGAATGGCTTCAGGGCACTTTTGGCCAGCGGGAGAGTTGTGAGGTTCTGTAATCAACAAGCTGTCTTCTGGGGTAAATTTTTTATGTCTTACCATTGATATAAATCTTTTTTTAAAAAATGCACACATAGCTGTTCTTTCTTAGAGAATATATCCTCGAGGGGCCTATTTAGTTTTTCACTGTCATGATTTATAAGTTTACGGTAATATTTAGTGATAAGTAGAATTTTAGAAAACCTCAAAATCCAAAAAGGACTGCTCACATCTCCCAAAAGTATAGAGCACTAGACCATGTGGTGTTGGGCTAGTTCCCCTGACCACTGTATTCTGCATCTCAGGACTTTAAATTCACCTCCAGAAAATGAATACAAGGCCTCCGGGGAAGGTGAAGAAAAGTCTAGTGATTCCTAGAGTACGTTCAGAAAGCTGCTCTTTCCCCAAAGACTTCAATACCATGCTTCCCTCAGCAGAAGGGCACCCTGACTCCCAAAAGCTGTGCCAGAGGATTCATTCAGGACCTACTATGGGCAGAGACAACTTGGCCCATTTTGCTCACTGCAGTTCCCCTAACTTGACTGTGACCTGGACACATGTACCAGGGAAACTCTAATTGAGGGCCAATTTAGACTATCAGAGGAAAGTTCCCCAAGTCCTATGCAAATGGTAACAGACTGATGAGGGACAAGTTTGCAAACCCTGAGAAAGGAAATACTCATTAAAAGCAGCAGCAACAACAGCATACCTGTATAAATAATCATGGTTCAAAAGAGGGGTCGGGGGCTACCGCTCTGCACCTAGAAGGAGCAGTTGGAGAAACAAAAGGGAAAACAGTGGATGTTTATAATTGCTATTTCAGTACATACCTTCTTCCACCATATCACAGGTAGAAAGTGGAAGCTGGCATATTTTAAAGCAACAGTTACTTTCAATAGCACTCTTTGGACCCCCTAGTCTACAACATTTTGAGGGAGAAGAGCCAAAAAAAAAAAAAAAAAAAGAAAGAAAGAAAGAAAAAAGCAAGAAACAAAAGTATGATTTTGTCAAGAGGGATTTCCTCCAAATCTCCCCAATCTGCCTCAGAAGCATCAGCCTTTTAGCAATCTATGGGAGTAATAAAAATAACCAGTGAAACCCAGATGTTTCACTAGATCTAGGTAATATTTATAATAGAAAGAGCAAAATATTCAGGAATTTTCAAACCCTTCTGTACAAAACTTAAGAACTGAGCATACATGTGCTCATAAAAAAAGTTCAAGAGACGAAAGTATGATTTTGGTGAGGTGGGGACTCTTAGAAGTCAGGAGGGGCTGTGTAAATGGCATTTACTACTTATTAAGGAACAGAGAAAAAACTACGGTGCCGCGTTTTTTGTTTTTTTTTTATTACTGGAAGGAAAAAAATAAATAAATAAAAGCTCTTTAAGGAATTGACTGGCCCAACTTGCCCATAACTTCAATGATCTCAGTAGTTTCAGGGTCTTGTAAACCTCAAGGATGTTGAAATCCCTCCCTACCCCCATCTACCCTATGACCAGATAACATCTGAGGTGTCTGCCTGTGGTCATGACCAAGCAGAATTCTCCTCCTTCGTGATAAAGCTGCTGGACTCTCCTTCCACGGGGAGAAATGCTGGGCTGGACTGTGTGCTTTGTACCTCACTGGCAGAATTCTGCTCCCCACCTCACCTTGTACATGTTGCAACTGCGATTGTGTGGGGGACTTTTTTTTGGAGGTGCATTTGTCTCTGCTGCTGTTCCTGTTCTCTGTGGGTTTGGTGTGAGGAGGGTCATCATTTGTGGTCAGATACTTGAGAAGCTCTGAGCAGGGACGTCTTTGTGGCTTTTGCTGTTGACAAATGCTCTTTGCTTTATTGCTCCATGAATTCTCGGTCTTAAAAACAAGGCATAAAGAAAGCTAAAATTAGTGAACTGAACCTTATCAGAATGGATATAGGTTTTTTGAAGAGATGAGATTTTCAGTGAAGTGTTCAGGCTAAGTGTACTAGATCTATGAGCTGTGAATAATTGTTTGAAGAACAAGAAAAGAAAATTACATTTAAAATTCCTAAATGACATTTATGCAGCTTTTTATTTCATTTCTCCTACATTTCAATGTTCCTACTCAGCAACATGTAACTAACAAGACCCTACAGCGCCTTTACTGTGAATAAAAAAAAAATAAGCTGGTTTAAACCTTAATTTACCGCTGATTGCCGAAGCCCAGTATTCACAACTCTCTTAAGTACCCCTTAACGCTCCGTTTTCACTCACAGTGAATGGCAAGACAAACATTGTTTAATACAGCCTGCTAACCGAATTATGTCATTGCCAGCATTCTATCCAATTAATGGCAGAGACAGATCTTTTGCAGTGATTCCAAAGCAATCTTTCTTAGGTTAGACAGCTGGCAAAACAGCCATCCTGAATCTTAAAGTCATTCACAGATAAGACCAGGCTATCAGCCCATTCTATTGTAACCCACATTACTGCACATATTAATCAAATGGACAAAGAACTGCACCCGGTAACATTTCTATCACAATTGCCCAAGAATCACATATACATGAACTCTGCCTACTTTTCAAGATGTGCAAGTGTTGCTTTTGGAAACCCATCTCACCACCACCCATACCACCAGTAAGAGGTAGCTGTGGCATCTCAGCTGAATTAATACATATAGGTAACTTTCATCTGCTTTGTAGATTCAAGCAAATGCCCATGTTGAAATGTTGACGTTTATACCTTAACAACTGCAGGGTTTGTTCTGATCCTGTGATTGTGGTTTGCATGGTTCTGGGTACTGAGACCACTGCATTCATTATAACTCAGCTGAGTGTTTGCCGGTGCCAGTAAGAGCTTCTTAAGCTAGAAACACATCAGGGAAGGAGAAAACAAGACACATTATGCCTTCGAACATGTCGCTGACATTTTAAACTTAAATTAATTAATTATAATAATAAAAACAAGTTCTATCACTCTTTAATTATATCACACCTTACTACAATAGTGCTGAAGGAAATATTTTCTAAAATGATAACAGTAAGTTTAATATTACACGGCCAACTACGAAAGCATCTACTTTTCCTACATTGTAACTTGGCATTGTCACTCTTAATATTTTAAAATTTGTTTTAGAGAAAATGAATCAATCATTCCTAAGGTGATTTGCAAATCACCAATGCATGAATCAGAAACTGTTCCCTTGCTAAGTGAGGAGTTCAGAATAGGAATGGATATGCATTTCTCCTTCTGAAACCAAAATAAATCAAGTGTCAATAAAAGAAAAATTCCATGATGCTCTGAGCTACATTTCACCACCAACTATACAAATTTACTATGTCAAACAATATGGAAACAAAACCAGTGGCTTTTACTGATTTCATGAATAAAAGAAAGCATTTAACTATAACTCAGCCTGTAACCTAAACATGGGCAAAGCATCTATTATTTCTTGGTCTCTGCTTCTTCACCTGTCTGAATGACTCTCAACACCTCACTGCCATTACATGCCAGGAGACTTTGAGCCAATGACCACTCCCAATTCAAAAATTGGTGCACATGAAAATAATGAGATATTGACATGAAGAAATCAGGCTTTGAAGCAAGGGATACTGACAAGCAGAACGACAAGAGGATAAATAGAAGGCCAGTATTTCTGAAATGTTCTCACAAAACCAGAAATCTCAAAAATGCAAAAGAATACAATTAAGGTCTCTGTATGTCTCTGTAGGTTTTCTTTTAACATATAAAAGCTTAGCAGTATGAGAAAAACAACATTCAAACGGCATGTCAAAGCACATTATTAAAGTCCTGATGATAGCATTCCATAATTTACACAGCATGCTCTTACATCAGATCTATGGTGAATGACAAATGGCTACCACAGACGAGAAGATAAACTGTATCTTAGAACTAATAAAATTCTGGTCAAGCATTGTGTTCAAAAGAAACTTCACTCTTTGTTGCCAACAAGTTCATTCTTCATTCCCTACCACAAATTTAAGTAACTTAGGTTGCAATTATGCTATTATTTTTCAATCATCAAAGAAATATGGATCCATAGTTCCAAAATCTTAAAATTTTGTACACACCTGTATCCAACAATTCTATTTATGCAATTGTATTCATAAGATAAAAATGCAAGCATGTCAATTATTATGCAAGTCAGAATAATGACAAACAATGGAAAAAACCTACATATCTAAACATAAGGATTGCTCAATAAATTAGAATATTTCCTTACAATGAAATTTTATTCTGTACAATCACTAAAAATTTTGCATATAACCAAAATTTTACCCTCATGTTCATGATTTATCTTAAATAAAAACGAGATTTCAACCATTTCATATTAGAGGTTTCTTGAAATCAGAGGTGAATTTTTCGTCTCTTCCTTCTAGGTATCTACATTTTATAAATTTTCACCTTGAACAGAAATAATACTAAGAAATGAAAGAGCCCCATATAAACAACAAAGACAGCCTTCACAATGAAGTGATACTACTTAGCCCTCTATTAGCAACAGTTCTATACAGAGGGTCACAGGATTTGCTTGCAACTGTGAGTGTGCTTGGGGAAAAGTTCTGGCATCAGTCTAAATCAAAACTCCAGACCTTATTGTTACTACTTCATACCCATGCAGCGGGTAGCCAGAGGCAACTCCGAGTCCTGCTAAACAGTAGGAAGGGTTCTTACTAGAGACGGCTCTTCTGCCTCCTGAGGTGGAGGGGTGCCGTCAGGCATGGAGGAAGGACTGGCCTCGTTGTCAGTGGTCACGTCTCCATCTGTCAGTGCGTCAAATGAGGGCAATCCGTCTTCATCCACAGGGAGGCTGTCCAGTGTCTCTGTGAGGACTGCTAGCAAGTTTGCCTCATTTTCTTCATCTATCTTCTGCAAAAACAGAAAAAAAGAAGAAGTGAGTTGTCTCAGAGTAGGCTTACACTATTAATCAGCAAAGGCTGAACGTGTCTATCTAAAGAGAAAGTCGTATGTGAAATCTTGAATACTTATGCAAAGGCCCCAATGTCAGGGCTTCCTCAGACTCTGAGCTCATTTTGGGTCTGAGTCACATAATTAATAAATAACTCCCCTGTGCCAATCTCACATTGTTGAGGTCTAAAATTTAGCAAAATATTAAGTCAGTGGTTAATATTACTGTAAATGATTCTGTCTTCTTCACAATCATCTTCCACATGCTTATTTCTTCTTCCCCTCACTAAAAGAAGATTTAGAGAATAATAATAATAGGCTTGAAGGAATCTTAACCAATTTCTACTTAATCCTCACATATAAGAATCAACTCTTCTGCATAGCATATCCTAAAATGTTCCTTGCATTGGAACACCACTAGAAACTTAAGAGAACCAGTACACTGACTTGAATTCAATTATAATCTCATCATCAAATGCTCCAAAATCATTTATTTCTTTCCCTGACATCTCTTCCAACTTTAGTCATAAATCTCCATACCTTCCAGTTGGATATCTCTACTTTATAATAGCTGCCACATCTCCAAAACCTAGACTTTGGACCTTTTGCAGAAGAAGTGCTACTTATGTTGAATCCTTTAGTTTGACTAACACTCATTTAGAAACTGGAAATTTCTCCACACCAACATCATGCTAAGGGTTGCTGCTACAAAAAGAAATAAAACAAAACTATCCCTCTCAGCACCCTCTGGTGGAAAGGAAGAACCTGTAAACAATTTATTATTAAAAAAAAAACTCTGTTTTCAGTACTCTACAAAAGCACTGAAAGACCCTCAAACTAAAGCTTAGATGCCTTGTTAGTAGGGCAGTCTTATGGTCTATGCCCTGGACATTCAGTGCCAATGTTTGGCTCCCAGTATAGATACAGAGGCAGTGATTATTTGCGGAGTAATTCATTGATCTGCATTTATTGCCAACAATGTATAGTGGGCAGATTGCTTTCTTTTCCTTGTTTCAGTATGTCACATTGTTTGCCCAATTTGACCTGCTTCCAAATTCTGTTTTTAAAGTTCTGTATGCTATGACATTAACAATATGGGCTAAATTATCCCACACTGATTCTATTACAAAAATGCACCTAAGCTGCTGACATCTAATGAAGCCAGCGGTGCCCACACTGCTTTCTTTCTAGCACTGAACTCCAGTTAATTGACCTGACAAAATTACAAGAATCACAGAATAAGACAGCTAATCAGAAAATCAAATTGTATTACTAGAGAAATTAGGCAGGGCTTTATCACGTATACCTTCTATTTTCACACAAAAATTGTTTCCCTCATTACCGATCCATCTCTATGCAGGAAAAAAACTATAGACTCCTTTTCCTTTGTGATTTAAGAGGCTGAGAAGGGCCTTTTGTACTGACTGATGCTGGACTCTCACCAGCATGTTTGATATGCTCATAATGTATCTCTTTACTGCCTGGGATCTGAGATCCTGAGTCAACTAGATGGGACACTTGTGGTGTGACAACGCGATGAAGGTGTAGGCACTAATAAAGAGTAAAGTCCCAACCTGAAACGGGAGATTTTCATTTCAAGCGACACACTTACTTTTACACATAGATCAATTCATTAAATTCTAAACAGCACAATTTAGTAATAAAAGCCTATTGAATACCTCCAAGCTCCAATTCTTCTGGACCCTATCCAAGGAATCCTAATAACACATGTGAAAGGAGTTTCCCTTATTTTCTGCTCAGAGTCATAATCCGGTACCCCAAAATTCCAGCCATCCCCCTCTTTGAGTTCCCCTACATGTCAAAATAACAATTCTGAAATATTTTGCCTTCTTTATCATGACAGTCTTGGAAGAAAAGTTGATTTTTTGGTGACACTTATGTCAAAGTTCAAAAAATACTTCTATATATAAAGTTTAAGGGACACTGCCCCTGACTGTAAATTCTTCTGGATAAAATTGTATTGAAATGAAATTTATATACTTTTAAAATCATCTCCAAATCATGAGATTTTGTATTGTAATAAATATCACCATATTCTTCAATAAAATAATCATTCAAAATATCTCAAATATCTATACATGAGCACATATACATACTTTAAGTAAATTGGACATTTTTCTCAGATATTCCATTTTTAAAAAAAAAAAGCTTCTTTCACTGAGGCTCAAAAACATCTGAAGAAAAGTAGTTATGAATGCTTACCAATAAATGAGTAATTTTGCTTACCCTGATTTAAATTTTGTGTCAGGCTTTCCTGCAATAGTACAAGCTGCTATTTACTTTAAATCACATAATACAATAGCGCCTTAGCTCTATCCCTCATGTAAACAAACCGAGACAATTCCAATCAAGTCAAAATGACAAAGAATACTTAAATTAACTAGTTTTCTCCAACTTCTTTAAGAAGGCTGAGCGAATGTACACCAAATACAATGGCAGAAACACTGGAGCTTGATAATGTCATAATTAATTTACAAGATCTGATTAAACTACCAACTACTTTAATTATCCTTTCTACTGGAACCACAATGGGAGAGGGATATTTGTGTGATAGGAAATTAACATGGAGTGTGTTTTTGTGTTTCTGTGTGTGTGTGTGTGTGTGTGTGTGTGTGTGTGTTGGAATGTGTATGCACAAAGAGATAGTATTCAACCAGCATGTTTCAGTAGAACGATAGTCATTATTTAGTGTCCACACAAAATGATTAAATATTCTTATTATCATCAGTTTATGTAAATAACTGAGAAATATACTAAAAGATCATTGATTTTAGTAAAGTTCTTGAATTATGGAAGAAAAATATACTCTTATCTGAACTATTTTGCCTTCTTTATCATGACAGTCTTGGAAGAAAACCTGATTTTTTTGGTGACACTTATGTCAAAGTTCAAAAAATACTTCTGTATATAAAGTTTAAGGGACACTGCCCCTGACTGTAGCAATTTCAATTAGTTTCATATGGATTTCTACAATCACAAGCCCCAGAGAAGGCAATGGATATGACAAAGAGGACTCTTTTAAACAATTAACGTCACTCTCCATTATTGCTTGAGTCCCAATTTACAGAGCAAATAAATCAAAGTCGTGCAGACGAAGCACACTGGTCTGTGAACACATGTCTATTCACAAGTGACAGAATATGGAAATGTTATTAATCGGTGAAATGACATTGCAAGATAACCTTTCAAACACTGGGCTCAGATACTGTTTTCATTTATTTATTTATTTATTTGTTTGTTTATTTAGTTATTTATTTTGGCAGAACCAGGGATTAAACTCAGGCCCTTACGCTTGCCAGGGAAGCGCTTATTCTACTGAGCCATCTCCCCGGCTCCGTCAGATACTGTGTTTAAGTGTCTAAAATGCTGTTTTTCAAGAATACACTTCTTACACCCATCTCTAATTTAAAAAAAAAAAAAAAAAAGGAAGGCTTAGAGAAAGGTCCAGCTGTGTAGGAATCTACACAAACTAAGCTCCGTCTTGTATGCTGTGAAAGAAGATCAGCCAGCAGGTATTTACACGGTGGAGCTGCTGCTCTGATTCCCTACAAGTAACATTTCCTACGGTGGTGCAGTGGGGGTAACAACTTTGGATTCCTCGGCACGATGGGATTCTGATGTGCTTTTCTGATCTAAATAGACTTATATGTGCCTGGAAATTTTCACTTTCCAAGGTCTGTCCAGGAAGAAAGTAGACACATCTCCAAAACCTCACTCCAGGTATAAAAAATGTCCAGGAACAGATAATAGATAGGCATTTATGGCAACATCCCCAAACTCCTAAGCCATGCCACTTCTTTAAAAAAATACTTTTGAACAATTCATTTGGAGGCTTGTCACTGCCCTTTGAGTCAAATGTGTCCCTATGTCACCTGCATTAATTTAGACATAATTCAAAACACACAGCTACAAGAAGGTAGATTTTTCTCCTTCTCATTCCCAAGATTACTTGGATATCAAAATTCTGGGCCAGGTGTATGGTTTCTGAGCTTTTCCTTCTTTGTGGTTTGTTGACGAAATGATCTTCTGACTGGTTAAATGAAGTGAACAAGACAGTGCTGTCAACTCCCCCAAATGTGCACTCTGGAGGGTGAACAAATCCACTAAATCAGGGAGAAGAGGGCTTCTAACAGGATGCTAACAGACACCCAGAGGGAGAACCACAGAGTGAAGCCTGCATGTGGTATCCCAAAGACTTCTAAATGCAGCCTATTATGGAAGGACCATGCCCTGCTTATGATAGCAATTTTTTGTGCATCTTGTAGAATTGCAATTACACTCTGTGTCCCCCGATTCTCACACTTGCTTGATCTCTGTTTGATAAAAATAGTTTAATAGTCATTTAATCACAGCTTCATTATCCTAGCTCTCTTAATGTGAATTAGGCCAGGAGAATTCTTGCTTCTTCCTTATTCAAGTCATCAGTAAGAAAGAAACGGAGGGGTCGTCTTATCATTCACTAATCAGTTTCAATTTTTCAGATATTTACTGAGAAACTGATCTATTTGAGGGGTCAGTTGGCCTCTTTTTTTCTATACAAAATTTCACAATGTTTTTGTCTACTTACAGAATTTATCTGCTCATTATTAATAGGGTTAAAGAAAGAGTTGATAAAGCCTGAGAACACTTCAAGACTGTTCTCATGAACATTTTTAGTTGTATGCCCATCATCTTGATCATCCACACTTGAACTTCATTCTTTGAGCACGATCTACCCCCAACTATTAGCTAAAGCCAGCTCCCCGCCCCCAAATAACCAGCATGGCCTGGGCTTCCTTCTTGCCCCATCCTGCTGATTTGGAAACAGCTAATGAAGATAAAATTAACTTCTACTTTAAGTGAGGCCTAATTAGGAAGGGAAATCTGCTAGAGCAACATCTGGTAGTATATTCTGAAGCCAAATATAAATGACATTTTTGGATTATCCACTATTTTGGATT